CTTTGAATTTGCTACCATCAGAAGATAAGGTATACAGTCGGTACATGTATTGACTGAGTCATGGCCAGTGGTGACTGAGCTCAACCTCCAGTCCCTCTCCCCTCCTGAAACTTGTCTGCTTGTGTGTGTTGGGGGAGGGGAGGGACTGACCTTTCCAACCTTCCCATCACATTTTCTCCTGCCTCTGGCTCCTGGTCCCCATTCTGCTCTCTGGGATCCACTAAGAGTCACTAATTAGCATAAACTCAAGTAAGTTTGACAGGGGCTCAAGAGAAATAACAAAAGACTTTCCAATTGTTCTAGAAAGTGCAGTGATTTAAAAAGCTCTGTCTAGAAGCTGGGGACAAAGGCTAGATATATTTATCATTTTAGCACAGAATGACCCATGCAGCTCCTCCCATAAGCTAACTCAGGAGCTTCAGGGATTGACTCCTTTTCGGAGGCTTTTGGAACTATTGCAAAGCAGTGCTTTTTCAGGAGTTCTAAAGAACAGAACACCCCACATGGCATTTCAAAATGAGGTCAAAACAAAATAAGAAGAGAAAACCTTAGGTGTTGATACACTAATTAGCTTCAGTGTCAAAAATTACCTAGAGTGCATCGTCCCTCTCTTTATTATTAATTTTTGGGATCATGCATGGTTCTAACAACGCAGCATTGTTTAACCCCTTGCTTCTTCCACATAAAGAAGATGTAACAGCATAAAGACGTGCAGGTGGGTGGGACACAGAACATTTGCTTTGCCATCTGCTTCCAGGTATAAGCCCCTGGAGGGCACGTTTAGTTCTTGTTGATCATCTTATCCCTTGTGCTAGTCACAACACCTAACACATAGTAAATAAATATTTGTTGAATGAATGTTAAATGCAAACTAGTTTTGAACAAAGAATACCTTGAACATAGCACTGCATTATTTAATTTACATCTCAATACCACAGGACCACTTCTAGCCTCCTGAACTTGAAGCCAGTGACTTGCCCCAAAGGGCCCTAAAAGAAATGATGAATCCCATTCAGTGCTGCTCAGTTCTGTTCCCTAAAATCTGCAGGTTGACATTCCCTGAGAGAAATCAAGCAAATACTTGGGAAAAAATACTCATAATGCCGTTGAAAGTATGAAGGGAATGTTTTCTTTCAAAAAGCATCATAATAAAAGACCATGTCCCACAATTTATCTGAAAAAGAAAAATACTTTCCATACTAATAGTGTCACGATTGTCTCTTTCCTGCACAGCTACGTGGTGTCCTTCTGAGGAGGAGTATTGTTTGTCCACTGTTAACTTTCATCCGTTCACCCAGGGGAGAGTTTATCCCCAAACTCTAAGATCAGATCTGATCTTGCACTCACATGAAAATCATCGGTACTCTCTGGGGGATCTGTCTCTGCCTTTGGTCCTGTGAAATTACTCCTGAGAGCCGAAGGGGAACTACAGCAGCAGCCTGGTGCAAACTTGTTTAACAAGGTGCCGAAGGAGGGTTTCTGATTCAGGCTGAGGCACGGGGCCCAACTTTCCAAAGTGTAATGGGAAGCATTTTCAAATCATTCAGCTGCTTGATTTTGAGTAGAGTTGGGTTTGGTGAGGGGCTGAGTAGAATTGGGAAGTAGGGGGAAGGGGGAGTGGAGAGAGATGGAGAGAAAAAGAATGAATTAGCCAAACAGAGCAAACCCTCAAATGTTGTTTGTAAATTACTTGTGGTCCATTTGGTTCTAGCAGTGATGTACATTCCCAGAAGCAACACATGAACACAAAGAGTATTAATAATGAAGTACAAAGTGTAATGTGAATAACTGGACAAATCACTGCTTTCCACATGGGGTTAACAGTTTTCAAAAGTCTAATGTTAGAAGTCCATGTCTTTTTGAAAGACGTGGCTTCCCGGACCGCGACTTCCATTTGCCATTCTATCCATGTGTTTTTCTCCCTTTCAGCCAGCTTGGCTCAACTAATCATTGCTAGAGTCTTTCTCCCCAAATGCACTCTAGAAACATTTCCATCATTTGACATTTCTAAGAGTGCATGATTTTAATTCTCTAAAGCTACACATAATGAAGGAAAGGATGGGAAGAAAGAAGAGTCAGTAATGTCGGCATCAGGGTTTTCTGCAGCACCTCTGAGGCTGGAGACCAAAGGCTGATACAGGGCAAGGAAGGGACACAGGATTCAGGCTGTGACAGGTAGCAGGAGGCTGTGAACACAGAGCCCAGCTGGGCAGAAGGGACTAAGACTACAGATCAGAAGAGCAAGACCAGGGAGGGTCCGTCAGCGGCCAGTCCTGCCCCGAAGGCGCTAACGCCGGGTTCTCAAGGTGGACTCAAGCTCTGGTGCAGATTGCGTGGAACAGTCTCAGAGGGCTTGGGGGCCTTAACTGTCTGTTGGCATTTCCTGTGCTGTGACCTTTACTGTGAACCTTCCACAGCCAATCAACCTACTGCTCCATAGAAATCTCGAGAATTGACTCAGATCTCAAGGATAAGTTTGCAAGTGAGAGGTAAATCATGATTGATCAGTAACATGCTATGAAGAGACAACATAACTCGAAACTTATCTGAGCCAAACAAGAGCCCAGTTTCCTGACCCTGGGAGTGTATCTCTCCTTTCTTAATCTCTGAATCTTTAGGAGTTGTGTTACATCATTTAAACTAATTTTGGGATACACTCAAGGTATTTACTTAAAAAAGTCCTTACTTAGGAAAATATTTCTCATAACTGACAAAAAATAGTCACTTCTAGATCAACCACAACACTAAACAATTATGAAATCATATCAAATGATTCAGCCAGTGTAAATCCTATAACCTGACAAATTCAGAATTACTGATTTTTAGGTGGCTTTGTGGATATAGCTCCTTTCACTTATATAGCTCATTCTGTTTCCATATTTGTCACATTCATAAATGCTAAGGATGTCCCCTGACTCCCCACGGGATAGGTGAATCTCCAAAGTGAAAGATTATTTACTCTTGAGGATTTGTTTAAATCTCTTTTCCCATCTGTCTATAGTGCCTGCTTTCTACATTCTTAATTCCTGAAAGGCAACCAGCATGGTTTAAAACCATGTTGCTCTCCAATTCAAATGTGATCCAAATGATTTGATTAAAAACTACAAAAGAACTGCTTTCAACAAAAGCTTCTTAGTGAGGAACACCAACATTTGTGAAGTGGAAGGCAGCCCTTTCTCTGTGCTCACAGCTTTGGAGGGAAACATATTTGGAAGAGCAGTTAATCACAAACTAAATCCCATCCCAAGCTTCTTCATATAGCCCACACGGAGGTTTAATATGCAATGTTTTTCTACAATCGAATCTTGGTTACACACTCCAGCTTTCTATGTCTCGCGAGACAGGCAAGAGATAGTTGCTTAGTGGAACTGCCTAGAACCACAGCAGCGCATCGATATTAAAATCATTATAGCAAGAGAATCAAAAAAATGGAGGCATGTTCGCAGATGCTAGCCATCAGTCTTGCCCTTCCGTGCGGTGATTCTTTTGATTAAAATTAAGCCCACGGTGATATGCAGATGAAGCAGTTGACTCCTTTGACATTTGAATACTGATTTGGTAACTCTGGGATAGTCGCATGCTCCTTCTTACTTCTATACTGTTAAAGTTGGGATGCTTGCATGGCTGGTATATATATCTGAAGGCAGTTTCCCTCTAAGCTGGGAAGTAAATCAAACTGTGCTCATTAAAGTGAACTTTGATGCCTAAAACTTTATAAATGCTTAAATCTATGCAGAATAACAACTACAACTTCAAGCACATGCTGTCCCGGGAGACGAAAGCACGAAGTTCATTACCCAGCACAACCTTGCAAAGAGGTTGTAGCATTAGAGGTTTTTTTCTTCCTCTAACACTTCTGAAGAGGAACTTTGAGCTTTTGACCCAGTAGACGCTGTGATGTTTAACGAAACAGCGGTTGTAGGATGATCCGCGAGATGCAACTGCAGCACTTAATCTTGTGTCTTGCTTTTCACCATTGTGAATAACTCATCAGACTACAGAGGAAATGCTCCCTGGCCGCTGACTGTGAACTTTGCTCTCTGATCGAGATAATTTTAGACACTTTGATTTCATTATAGAAATTCCAAGCCTTCTTGTGGGATAAAACAAATGTTAAGACCATATTGAATTTCATCAAGCTGAATTAGCAGAAAATAAAGATAAAATGCCTTTCTATTTAAAAACATGATGATGTTTTAATTGGTACAGCCTTTGGCACGGCTAATGTACACAATCCTTGACATTCATATAATAACAAAAGAAAGTTTCGGGTTTTTCTTTTATTTTCTAGTCTCCCCTTTCCTCCCTAGCTCCTCCCCTCCCCCCATCTTGACCCTGGCTTTTAGCTCTCCTCCCTTTTCTCCATCCTTCTACAAGAAAAAACGATGCAGTGCAAGGACACATGTAAAAATACATCCCTTGTACCGGAATAGGCCAAGGCTGCTTATTACCTAGCTGGGATGAAAAGACCACCATCGTCGTGACAACTGATGCAGTTGCCTCCGGGTAAAACAAAGGTTTACATATCACACAAGCAATTGAACTGTTTTCTAAACATATTGCCAAGACAGTGGGAGCCGGCAGCCCACACTGCGTTTTAGGGTTAGGAGACTTGGATGAGAAGTGACTGCTGATTATGGACCTTTTTATTTGTCTTCTATGAACTACAGCAACCTGGTAACCCAGCAAAGAATGCTTCACCACACTTCAACTTGTCTTCCCAGCGTCCCAAGATTACATGCACAAATCACTTGACAAAAGTGGTGTGAGGGTCCTGTGCGTAGATAACCACAAGACAGTGGTCTAGTTCTAACCCTTCAAGAGTACCGCAAAGTGAAATGTTTTATAATCCTTTTTTGTGCAGTGGGCAAGGAAGAAAAGAAAAGAGTTTGGGCAAAGATTATCCAGAAGAAAGAAACAGACTCTTTCGGGTTCCAGTGGAAGCACAATAAGGAACATAATTAACTTCACGATTCTTTGTGTTTTTCATTTGACTGCAGGGAGGAGATGAAAGAGGACTGTTAAGCCTTGCATTCCATCCCAATTACAAGAAAAATGGAAAGCTGTATGTGTCTTACACCACCAACCAGGAGCGCTGGGCTATAGGACCCCACGACCACATTCTTCGCGTGGTGGAGTACACAGTCTCCAGGTAGCCCTGCGCTCACCCAGGCACAGAGGGGTTCTGTCTTATTTTGTCATTATCTCTCAGTAACTTTTCCGTGTAGGAGTTACACGTAATTAGCCAGGAGATGGTAATAATTAAACAACAATCTATGTCTTGCTTAAAGCCTGGAGAATTGGGAAAAGAATGCTCTGGCACTTTCCCTCAATCATCTTTCCACTTAAATGCTACTGCTGAAACTTAGCGAAGAGCACAGTGTTTCCAGCAATGCTGAGGAGCCACGTCAGGGCTCTTCCCTCACAGCCAGCCAGGCCTCTGTCTGCTCCCTGCCTGTGTCGGTCACCCAGCTGTGAGCGGCCTGCGTCTCTAACCACCCTGTGCTGTTTCCACCCCACCCTGCAGGAAAAACCCCCATCAAGTGGACCTGAGAACGGCCAGGGTGTTTCTTGAGGTAGCAGAGCTACACAGGAAGCACTTGGGGGGGCAGCTGCTGTTCGGCCCTGACGGCTTCCTCTACATCATCCTCGGCGACGGCATGATCACGCTGGACGACATGGAGGAGATGGACGGGCTCAGGTAAAACAACCGCATCTTTGGGATTAAAATGTTGTAGGTGCCGGGGAAAGCAGAGCTCCTGCGTTCAGAACTGTCCTTGACAATCCCCGGATGGTGTCATTTATATGTGGGATGTAGGAAGCCAAAGGGTCAGACAAAACCAAGCCAGTAAGAACCCCTAGTGGAATAGGGGCCACAGATGAGGAATAGGGTGGGGAGCCAGGGGAGGGAGAAGAGGGGAAACCAGGGGAGGGGGAGCAGGAGGAGGGGCAGGAGGGCGGGGCGGCGCCACTGGGGCCTGGGTGGTGGGTGGGTGGTGACATGCAGCTGAGGAGGTGGAATTTTGTGCCTCTGAATCACAGACTGTCTTGTAAAGGAATGTCACCTCAATTACAAAAACTGCCATTGAATTACAGCACCTTGGTGACATGACATTTGTTGTCACTGTCCATGTTGATCAAATGAACTGGGATCCAATAATAGGCTGCCGCATTCTTTTTGCAAGTTGTTAGGCTGCTGCCAGCACAGGTTATGGGGTGCAGTTCTGACAGACAGGGTGGGAGAAGCAAGCACCCCCTGTGCCCTGCACATACTGCTCCGGGGAGCTTCGGCGGGGGCTGGGGGGACAGAAAATACACGGACTGGAGAATGATAAATGTGAGGTGCAGAAAGCTGCCTGTACCCGTGGTCCTCAGCCAGGAACTGTGTGGGTGCCAGCCCTCTGAAACCAAACTGCCTCGGTTTCATTTCCTGCCCGCGTTGAGGGGTAAGGTGCCCCAACCAGGGACACTCACGGGGCCTGGCCATTCCTCAGCGACTTCACAGGTTCAGTGCTTCGGCTGGACGTGGACGCCGACACGTGCCACGTGCCTTACTCCATCCCAAGGAGCAACCCACACTTCAACAGCACCAATCAGCCCCCCGAGGTGTTCGCCCACGGCCTCCACGATCCAGGCAGGTGAGAACGTAGCCATTGGGCCTGTCTGCTTAAAGCCAGCTGGGCAGTCAGGGGGCTGGGAAGGAAAAAGGGTCCCCCACAGAGAGAGCAAGGGTTTGTGTCTCTAAAACCACCCCGACTCACTGTCCCATCACCCTTTCTCCTGCCTGGGGGGAAACAGATGAAGAAGGGAGGTAGACCAGGAAAGGGTCACGTTCATGGAGGGAAATCTCCTCAGTGTTTCGGTGATCAATATTAGATAAATATCTTGAACCAGATGCCCCCCCTGGTGACACAAGGGGTTAAGTCTGTGAAGCTGGCGGTAGCCACTGCAGCTTGAGTTCTATCCCCAGTCAGGGAGCTGACCCACAGGGCGCAGCAGACATCTCCTGTCTCCCCGCTGCTCCCCTCAGCAGTGTACTTCAGTGGATCTGCCTGTTCTCTTGCCCACACTGTGTCTGGTGAAGCCTCTCACCCCCTGCCTCTCTGGCCTACACCCCAGCTCTTGTATGCATACATAAATAAAAGTAAGTCTTTTGAAACTATCTATGTTGAACCAGTATAACCATCAAGACTGCAACCTGAACAATTCATAGAGATAATGAATCTTTTTATTGGCCCCCTGAAGCCTGTCCAAATGTTCCTCTCCCTTTACACTGTGGGGTGGGGGGGGGTAATAATCAGGTGCAGGATGATTACAGGAGGCTGAATTGACAAAATACACATCTATCAGAAACACAGAATACACTGTCACTCCCAGCTGGTGGATTTTAAATGAATTTCAGCTCTTATCACTTAACCTGTAAGTTACAATTACATAAGTTATGTAAGTTATATAACAATATCTATCACATTTATAAAATTGTATCGTAATGTTATAACTTGACATGTGATGATCCAGTACCAATCTGTAAGGAGTTGAGCTAAATGTTGACATTTTGTACATAAAAAAAAGGCAATAGAAAAGGAATTCATCATGACTGTTTACTATCCTGTGAACCATCAGGAACGAACACTGTCACGAGTGGAGAGCGAGAAATTCTGGGTACGCATCAAAAATGCATGTAGCCATTAGAGGTGAAGGTTCATCCAATCTGCAGTCTGTTTCACAGACGAGGGGCTTCAAGGCCCATTCATTCACTTACTAGTGAAGTTCTTCTTGCTATTGAATGTTTATTGACTATTCACTATGTGCAAAGTGAGAATTTCTCAATCTTTTTATTTTTATAATCCCTCATGCCCTTTATCTCCCCTTCATCCAAGTCTGAGTCTATAGTTCATTTCCTTTTTGGCATCTCATCAGATCTTAAAATCTGTGTGACAGGGAAGAGGGAAGGTGGATTCAGGGTGTGCAGGAAGCTGTTGCATTCCACTCCTCGAACTCGGGACTTGAGATGCCACCACAACGCAGCCCCTTGAAATCCCTTAGCCTGAGTCACTGCAACACCACTGGTGCTTTTGTGCAGCCTCCCTGGGGGTCCTGGACCCTTGGTACAAAAACAGAGGGCGAGCTCCTTTAAGACCTGATGATGGCAGGGTGCCGCACCGTGGTCCTGCCTCCTACGGACAGCAGAGGCCTAAAGGAAAATCTTGCTCCTTCCCAGAGTAATCAAGCAGACGAAGCCTTCATGAAGCCGAAAGGAAGCTCAAATAATTCCTGGCCAAAAGGAAAACTTTGATCAAGCTCCCTGGTGCAGAGGACTGAACAAAGTATATTGCACACACT